GCAATTGTATCTGGAGAAAAGGTACTAGGAGTTAGCTGAGGTTAAATGAGGTCTCTTAAGGGTAGGGCCCTAATCTGTTAAGACTGTGGCCTTATGAAAAAAGGAAGAGAGTGCTCTCTCTCACTCCCTCTCTCTCCTCCCCTTCCTTCCCTACCCCACACACTGGACCAGGTGAGGACACAGCCATCTGCAAGCCAGGAAGAGCTGGCATCTTGCTCTGGGACTTCCTAGCCTCTGGAACCCTGAGAGAATTAATTTCTATTGGTTGAGCCACCCAGCCTCTGTTATGGCGGCCCGAGCTGACCAGTGCACCAAGCAATTGGCCAAATGCACTGTTGAAAAGAAAACCCCAGGCCCAAAATGGTGGTAACTGGGCCAGGCCAGATCATCAGACCTGGGCTTAGTACCTAACCTAATTGCAGTTTCAGTCTCCCCCAGAAATGTAAATCTTAACCTGTCAGTCGGGAATTTTCTGATAACAGCAATGAGGTAATCTGTGGACCTGGGCCCTCTCCATCCCCCAAAGGAAGATGAGGTAATCTGTGTAATAAAACCCTTTGCCCTTCCCACTAGGGGAAGGTGATTTTGCCTGAAATAATCCTTTCTTTTCTTTTGCTTGTAATTTTTCTGCCCTACCCTCCTTCCTCCAAAAACTTTCCATTTTGGGGTGCTGGGGTGACTCAGTCGGTTAAGCATCTGACTCTTGATTTTGGCTCAGGTCACGATCTCACGGTTCATGAGACAGAGCCCCCCTCGGGCTCTGTGCTGACAGCGCGGAGCCTGCTTGGGATTCTCTCTCTCTTGTTCTCCCCTACTCACGCTCTGGGTCTCAAAATAAATAAACATTAAAAAAAAAAATAAAAACAAGGGGCTCCTGTGTGGCTCAGTTGGTTGAGCGTCTGACTCTTGATTTCAGCTCAGGTCATGATCCTGGGGTCACGGGATCGAGCCCCACATCAGGCTCTGTGCTGAGCACAGAGCCTGCTTAAGACTGTCTCTCTTCTCTCTCTTTCTCTCCCCCTCTGCCCCTGCTCATGTTCTCTCTTTCTCTAAAATAAATAGAATGAAAAAAATAAATAAAAATTAAAAAATAAAAACAAAACAAAACTTTCCATGTTGTACAACTCCTTACAGTGTCCCTCTCTTCACTAGATGGGGTACAGCCCGATTCAGTGAATCACTTGATAAAGCCAACTAGATCTTCAAATTTCATCAGCTGAATTTTTTTTTTTTTTTATATAGTATCCTCTTACTTAATCCCCTCAACGACCTCAGGAGGTAGGTGCAATTGTAATCCCCATTTTACAGGGACGGAAACAGAAGCATAGAGATGGTAACTTGCTCAAGGCTGTTTTAATAGAGGTACATCTAAAAACTCATTACCTATGTGACTTTGGGAAGCTAATCTCTCCAAACCTCCGCTTCCCCATCCGTAAAGGGGGAATAATAATAGTATATATGGATACAATAGCTGCATTACAAGTTGTAGCGAGGATTAGATGTGTGACTATATGTAAAGTGCTGGGTCACCTGGTTGGCTCAGTCGGAGGAGCGGGTAACTCTTGATCTCGGGGTTGTGAGTTCAAGCCCCACGTTGGGTGCAGAGATTATTACTTAATAAATAAGTAAATAAATGAACTTAAATTTTTAAAAATATATGTAGAATGCTTAGAATGGTATTCTGTTGCATAAGTCCCCCACTGGTGTCTGCTATTATTGTTGCTATGATTCTCCTTATTCCTTTATTGCCAACCACAGATTTATGGCCAGCTTCACTCAGAGCCAGTCTGGCTCTTCTGTCTCTAATTTGACCACAAGACTCTCTCCCTGTGTGGTCCCAGCCCACTGGATCAAGGTGGATCCTGGACAGACCCCCAGGGTTGGCAGTTCAATTGCTATCCTAGGGTTGGGAATGAGCAATCAAAGGACAGGGTCCTTGCGGGGGAGAGCAGTAACCCAGTTAAGCTGAGCCTTATGCACACAGAAGATGATGGTCAGGAGAAAGGGGACAGAGGGGAGCAGAGAGGAGAGGTCAGTGGCCACCAAGAGAAGGTAAGAGACCAGTCACCCTCGGCAGTGAAGACAGAAGCCTGAGAGGCTGGCAGCCTCCCACAGGTAGCAAGCCCAAGACCCGGCTGTTCTTCAGCATCTGTAGCTCTGATTTTGCCTGCTGTGCCTATTTCATAAATACTCTCTCTCTTCCTTCCTCGGTAGGGCTTGAGAGGACTTCCCTGACCAGGGAAGGTGGAGGTATGCACCTGTGGGGGGCGGTGACAGCACAGGTGGGCTCAGGTGCGTGCCTCACCCTCACCTGCGAATCAAGCTGAACTTCACCCTCCAAATCACACAGCTGGGGATACTGGTGGCCAACAGTCTAGGACACATGAGTTTTCTTATGTCTTTATTCTTACGTTATTGAGTCACTAGGTTTTTGTT